ATTCGATTATGTCCATTTAACTATGCACGAACAACAGTCTGTAAAAAAGTATTCTGTGAGTGGGTACTTTTTGTGAAAAAACATATTTGTTCAATGGAGACTGGGGTGAGAGATCAATTTGCAACCACCACACCCCTACCATGTTTGAAATATTTGTGCCGAAAAAACGCAAATTTATTGATTTTCAAAGATAAGAACTCTAAGATATCCACCACCAGCTGTGAATAATGTGAATATTTGTTTTGAATTTTTTTTAAAGTTTTAAAGCTCCACCACAGCGTGACACAGCTGCACCTGGGGCGGTGGGGTAGCCTAGTGGTTAAAGCGTTCGCTCATCACGCCGAAGACCCTGGTTCGATTCCCCACATGGGTACAATGCCGTAAGCCCGTTTCTGGTGATATTGCTGGAATATTATTAAAAGCGACGTAAACCTCACTCATCACAGCAGCATATTGATAATGATTAGGGACGGAAATTTACTAAGACAATCATTCCTGTAATTTTGGATATTTTTAATTAGTGCAAAATCAGTTCAGACGACCAGTCCAAAATTGAGGTTGATGGTCATTCAAACAACTGTTGTAAGCATACATCCAGCCTTATTGCCTCAACAGATATTCCAGAAACTGTCAGCTGCATTTAGCCTCAAGGAATGAAATACTGCGTTATAAATGTTGCCACAACACACGTTTCCTGACATTGATCAAGACAATTGAGTATTGCCTATATCAAACACGGATGTAATCTGACATCTGGAAGCCGAGACGGACATCCGCGTATAAGTGGGAATTTCGGTCAATGTGATTAATCATAAATATCCCCCCTGTTCTGCCCGGATCCGCAGATGGTCGCGTACAAGATTATTGCACTTATATATACACGTGCATGCACGTGTGTGTGGCAGCTTGCACTAGTCCGGACTTATGCCGATTTATAGTGCTAGCACATTGAGATACCATGCCGCAGTTTAAAATGAATACCCCACTCAGACACAGTATACTGACTCCGAGCCGACAAGTCCTTGTTTTAGCCCCTTAATGCCGAGCGCCAGACAGGGTAACAACAAGTACCATCTTTTAACGTCTTTTGGTATGTGGCGGCGGGGATCGAACCCCGGACCTTCCGCTCTCCGGGCGGACGCTCTACCACTAGACCACGGAGGCGGTCAACGCCGTTTTGAACAATATTTCAGCTACATTAGCTATATTGGGAGGAAACCCCAAGTGATGCAGGTCTTAGACGTTACTGAATTTATACACTGGCAAGCCCGGGTATTGTGCTGTAAAGCCTAGAAACATAATCAGCGCGAATATGGGATTTGAACCCTCGTTCTAATGGCACGCGTAATGGGCCCAACACTGTAAAGCGGATAACTGCGTTTTAGACGCCTGGGCCTACCCTGGATTCGATCCAAGACTCCTCGGTATGTCAACACAGAATTCATGTCCTCGGGGTGCATTAAAAGCGTTGAAAGTCTACATTCTTTGCACATGAAGCTGAAGTATATATAAGGTGAGGTGAGGTGAAATTGGGTTTAACGTCGCGTCCAAGATAATTGCACTTATATAGCGACGTGGAAGTATATATAAAGAATATCACCAGGTGTCTTAATATCACATATATCATCACGAGTCAAGCCTCGGAGGTTTATCGACGAGTGTTGAGATAGTTGATACCAAAAGACACTGGGGTGAGATTCTATTTATCATCCAACGTCATTCTTCCAACTTTTTCAGCTTTTAAATACGGTGGCCCATAAGGGACATGGAGTCCGTTTTACAATATTTTGATATTTCACTTACTTTTATCGTAACCTTTTGCAAACTAACACAGTTTGTTATCATGTATGAAAACAACAGAAAACATGGTAAATGTACTTTCAAGTACCCATTGAATCGCTGAAACGTGAAGCGAAAATGTCAAAAACTAAAATGGAAATGTCAAAAACAAAAACGAAAATGTCAAAGACAAAAACGAAAATGTCAAAAACTAAAATAATAATACAGAAAACTATTTTCAACGCGGTGGAAATAGTTTTCTGTATTTTCATTTTCAATAGTCCAACTGGCAAGTAAGAAGTGCTTCAAATCGATCAATACATTCAGAATGTCTTGCAGGCAAGCATTGCAGTCAAAGGGAGATAATTTCAAATTCGTTCCCTGAATGAAGCTGTGCGGTTCCAGCATGGGTTAGAAAGGTGAAACTTTGTGGGAATGATAACATTTGTTTGTTGTTGGCTGCATGTAGTGCTAGCCCCCGTGAAATACCATGCTACAGTTTAACAAGGAAACCCCGCTCAGACACATTGCACTGGTTCCGAGCACACCGATCATTGTTGTATTCCTATGTGTGTGTTTGTTGTTTAACGCCGAACTAAGCAATATTCCAACTATATGACGGCGGTCTGTAAATAATCGAGTCTGGACCAGGCTATCCAGTGATTGACATCATGGGTATCGATCTACGCATTTGGGATACGATAACATGCATCAACCAAGTCGATTATTCGTAGATTCAATTTTAAACTGCATCGCGATCGGTAATCAGATATGGGTGTGGTAGAATGTATTGAAAAATATGTGTTCTCGGAATCTGTAGTATAATTTTGTTTGTTTGTTTGTTGTTTAACGCCGCACTCAGCAATATTCCAGCTATATGACGGCGGTCTGTAAATAATCGAGTCTAGACCAGACAATCCAGTGATTGACATCATGCGCACCAATCCACGCAATTGGGATTGATGACATGCATCGACCAAGTCAGCGAGCCCGACCACCTGATTTCGTAAGTCGCCTCGTAAGACAAGCATAGTTGCCTTTTACGGCAAGCATGGGTTGCTGAAGACCTATTCTACCCTGCATCATCACGGGTTTAAAATTACAAGACATGACATGTTGAGACAGGTTAGAATACGTCCCAGCACTGTGTTGTTGTTGTTGGTGGTGGTGGTGGTGGTAATTGGCGAATGCGGACCGGGTGTGTACAGAGCTCCAGAAAAGCTGCGTATCTGCGTGAAATGCGCATCAGAAATGCAGAAATACGCAGTAAAATCAAATCCAAGCGTATCAAATACGCAACGAACATTACAGATACGCTACAAAAATAATACTTGTTCGTATCATCAAAATATTGTGAAGTAACCCTGCGTATTCGATTAGCAAATCAGCAACTTATTTTGAAATTATAAACGGGCATTCCGTCAACCTTGCCAAACTCCACGACGACAGTTACATCATGATCATTTGCCATCCCACTTTCTTGTGGAAGTATCGTGGTATTTTTGAGTCCTATAAAGCTCTCGAACCCAAACGACAGCAGTTTGCAGGGACTTGATGAATAGTGTTTTTAAATATTTAACCTAAATACCCACATGTGTAAAACTAGTGGGTAACAGAAATTTGAATACCCAGATAGAATTACTGATACCCAATGATTTTAAAATGCATGGGTAAAATACCCACAACACCAAAAGCTTATCTGGAGCTATGTGTGTATACTTCGCGATTTGACCAATGGATTTTTATCGTGCGCCGAAGGCTTAGTTCGTTGCACGTTTTCGGTTACTGGTGTGTGCCTGGTCAAGAATCCATTGTTTACAGGCTGCAGTATTGGTGACTGCGGCGTTTAACAACATTCTTTCACGTTTTTCTACCAAGGAAGTCAAAACTATTCAGAGTTATTTTAGTAGGTCCATGTGGTTCTGAGACAGGTTCCTGGGGATGTGTGTTATGTTATAAATGTACGCTCATCTATGCTAGGCATATTTACAGACCTTGCGTCATTGACCTACTGCACAGTTGGACAATAGTCTCTTGCTTCCTGTTACAGATACGGCAGTTCCGTGACCATAGTCAACGTAGTGTCCCTTCTCCTGATGGAAATCTACGCCTTTCAACAGCCACAGGATCTCCACACGAATAGTTGGATGTGGACACGTGGAGAATAACACTGATACAAGCAACGGGATGGGGCAGCGTGACATTAAAACAATCCGTTTTGCTGTTCCATTCATACATGCTAGTTCCACGATAAAATGTAAAGGTTCTCTTCAGTCTGAGTGTGTATGGTTTTACACAGCTTTTAGGTGAGGTGAGGTGAAATTGGGTTTAACGTCGCGTGCATGCACGTGTATGTGTGTGTATGGCTGCTTGTACAGGTCCGGACTGATGCCGATTTATAGTGCTAGCTCACTGAGATACCATGACGCAGTTTAACATGAATACCCCACTCAGACACAGTATACTGACTCCGAGCCGACCAGTCCTTGTTTTAGCCCCTTAATGCCGAGCGCCAGACAGGGTAACAACAAATACCATCTTTAAACGTATTTTGGTATGACGCGGCCGGGGATCGAAACCCCGGACCTTCCGCTCTCCGGGCGGACGCTCTACCACTAGACCACAGAGGCGGTCACAGCTTTTAGCAATATCCTAGCGAGATCACGTGGGGGGACACCACAAATGGGCTTCACACATTGTACCCATGTGAGGAACCAGAGGGGTCTTCCCCGAGGTGTGGAGGCTTTAACCACTAGGTTCTGGTGTATGAATTGTACCTTTCACACTGCTGTCAGGCTCCATGTAGCAGTCTTGTTAGAAACTGGACATTAAAACCATACTTTACTTTATAATTACAAAAACATGTCTCAATACCAACAGGGCAATGACATCTACCTTCACAGCAAATGTGATGCCATGTCTCTGTTTTAGTGAGTGCTTTTAGCAATATCACAGCAATATCACTTAAAATAACTTATCATGCTCAGTCTTTCAATTTCTGAATTCTCTAGTAACAATAAATACCATTCATATAATTCCCATTGTTTAAACAGAGCCACCTTTCAAACAACTGCCAATTTGGCCTATCCACTTGTAGGCATTTTGCAATCTCTTAAAAGATGCTGAAACAGTTTCGCTGAAATAGAACCGTATTAATCACCTCCACCATATCTCTGGTGCTCTCAAAAGCATTATAACAGGCAATAAACAAGAAAAACAAATAGAATATATATGTTGTTTAATAAGATTCATCATAACAAATTAGTTCATTTTGACATGACATTACTGAAAATGATCTCAGGTCAGCTTTATACTATTCCTTAGTGTGATAAATTAACAATATGAGTACCGTAAATGCTTCCAGCATTTATGCAGCGTATCACAACGAGACCGACCGAGCCTGGCTTGATGTGTCCTAGAGATAATTTCAATATTAATGTTGTGCCATCATTATCAAGGTCATCACCTTTTGATGAATCATGTTCTTTGGCAAGGTCATTTTAATACACACATTTGGTTTTATACAAACATGGACACATTGTTTGGTAATCTGCTACTCTGATGCAGCAGTCCGTCTATATTTAGATCACCTGCTCCACTAAATATGTAAGCATGTCAGAACAAGTCTCTATCATGGTGTGTCAATCAAGGGACACAACTCTTGTCTGTTAGGCTCAAACCCAGACAGTATAGATAGGATCAAACGCTGCTGCTTTTATCCTTTAGTTTCAGCCTTACGTTTAAATTAAGTACCTTAGGTTAAAAATAAATAGTCTTGGTTCCCAGGCATCGCCTGCATCATCACTTTTTGTTTTTATTTCCATTTTAAGAATAATAATAAATCTTTAAATATTCTGCGTCTCGAAGAACACACAACCCCAGCAGTGAAATACTTCAATGCTTAGGAACAACAAAATTCGCCAAAATTATTGTAAACAAAATTTGGTAACATTCTAGTTTGAACAACAAAAAAACACTGCCCGCTCGCACAATATTTTTAAAAGCCATTGCCTGAGAACCAATTCTTTAATTTTTTTCAGCCTAACTGGTCTCTGACTTAACCATTTCATGTTGTTTATGTACATTTCCCATTCAACACTCCCATACAAATTAATCACTTTGACTTTACATTGATCATGCAATTAGCCAAAAGTTAAGAATAGAGACACAAATCACATTTACTTAAAATTCTACATGATAGCATAAAAAAACAAGCTTATAATAAAAATGTCTTAATACAAATAAATTGAATTAAAAGAGTAAACTGAGCTTACATCTAAAATATAGTAAACAAAATGGATAATATTTGATGACCAGTAAATCCATCGACGGAATTTGACCTACATCTGCACACCAAGTTGACACAAGGTCGGCATGAAACTTAAGTATGGCCATATTCAAGACAACCAGTTCAAGCTGTCTCCTTTATTTTAATACATTTTCATAATTATCTATTACATGCATCAACAGATTAATAAAGAACTGGAACAGGGTGCCATTGTACAAGGCGATCTTAGCACTAAGGTGATCGTAACTCCCATACCTTAACCACTTACGACAGTCGTAGGGCTAAGGCTGTTTTGTACAACGGCACCCAGGTCTTAACTAACCCTGCTTCCAGCCGACTACGATGAGCAATGGTGATATTTACAGGACCTTATAGGAGACATATAAATAATGGCAATGCATGCACGATATGCTTTATACAATATGATACAGAGTAATAGAGCTGAAGTAGGAAGGGATAGGAAGACAGGAGTTGAACAGATAGGTATTGGAGTGAGTGAGTGAGTGAGTATGGTTTTACGCCGCTTTTAGCAATATTCCAGCAATATCACGGCGGGGGACACGATAGGTATTGGACAAAGCATAGCTAATACTTCACAGGCTTGTATACACTTCCTTGCTCCATGTGGAGGAGGAAAATAGTGTGTACCAGCAGGGATGTATTGATGACAAAGTAGTCCTGTGTCCATTCCACATAGCGATCTTAGCGGTATGACTATCGTAAGACTATGTTAAGGTATGAGAGTTTTGATTGATGCTGCGCTAAGACCGCTTTTAGGAATGGAACCCAGGGCCCTGTTTCACAAAGCAATCGTAACTCTATGATTGTCGTAATTCTATGTTAAAGTATAGGAATTGTGATAGTCGTAGCTCTAAGACCACTTTTAGGAATGGAACCCGGGGCCCTGTTTCACAAAGCAATCGTAACTCTATGATTGTCGTAATTCTATGTTAAAGTATAGGAATTGTGATAGTAGTAGCGCTAAGACCACTTTTAGGAATGGAACCCGGGGCCCTGTTTCACAAAGCAATCGTAACTCTATGATTGTCGTAATTCTATGTTAAAGTATAGGAATTGTGATAATCGTAGCGCTAAGACCACTTTTAAGAATGGAACGGGGCCCTGTTTCACAAAGCAATCGTAACTCTATAATTGTCGTTATTCTATGTTAAAGTATAGGAATTGTGATAATCGTAGCGCTAAGACCACTTTTAAGAATGGAACCCGGGGCCCTGTTTCACAAAGCAATCGTAACTCTAGGACTGTCGTAATTCTATGTTAAAGTATAGGAATTGTGATAATCGTAGCGCTAAGATCGCTTTGTGCAGTTGGGCCCTGGCATCACAATCTTAACAGAATACCTCAGAAAAGACATCAGGAAAGATTCAAAGTTCTTTTGATGTGGATGCAATCTTAGGCCAAGAGTTTTGTGACTGTGGATGTCATCGTGTTTCAACATTTTGTGCAGTCATGTCAAATGAGGCTTGAAAACAGAAACCTTCACGGTCTGACCAATGTTGTCCCTGGTGGGGTGTATGCTGTAGTTCAGGGTCATAACTCCACCATGTGCACATCACTTGCTGATAAGACTTGATAAGACTTGAATCGCATGTAAAGATAGCTAGAAGATGCATAAACGTTCTTAAACAATGAGACGACAGAAGATGTTTGTGTTTATGAGGTGGGAGTGTTGCCCTGCCTCAGGGGTAGCTTGGTCTTGTTCTGGGGGGTGAGGGTTTTGTTGGGGGTCCGTGTTGTGATGTTCTTCTTCACTCTGGACGAGCTCGGTGGCTTCATTCGCTGCTTGTTTTCTTTGTTCGAAACCTAGAAAGATAATGTATTGTGAACATTATGGGTCATAAATTGTTTTAATATTTCAACTTAAAAAACAAGTGTGTTTAGAAAAAGAAAGTTCAATCAAAAAAATAAATATAATGAAGACATTTTAAGGACAAAGGTCACTAAATAGCCTTCCACTTACCAAACAGTAAGTTCATATAAATTTGTGATTTTGTGATCATCCTAAAGTTCGCCGCATGTTTCGTTTTTATTTTCATTTAAAAACAAAACAAAAAAATCCTTGTATATTCCAAGGCCAAATATTATATTTTTTTAAGCCATAATAATCCACAGACTCGTGAAATATCAGATTTGCTGCCTGTAATATGGCAGTAATTTCATAACGTGTAAGTGAACATCTCAACCAACATGCTAGTATAAAACACTGTCCTGCAAGTTCTCCACATAGCAGCCTCATGTCTACATACCCGACTCTTGTCACTGAGCGTGGAGATGCCGGATGTGTTGGAGTTGGTGGAGAGGTCGCTGCCGGCATCACTCAGGCTGTCAGATATGTCCTTCACATCCTGAAAGACAGGTGCTTATTTCACAACACATTCACACAGGTAACATGGATCCAAATGACCAAAGATGCTCCTTTTCAAACAAATCAGTGAAATAGTGATATAATCATTTCTATATCTCTATTCAGAGTCTAATAAAAAGTTTTTGATGAAAAATGTTTTTTTCTTGCCCCCAAAAACACCACAGTTTTTTTCAAAGTGAAGTAATAAGGCAATATTTAGGGCTGGCTATCGATATAGATTATACAGACATGAGAACAGCATAATTTGTTTTTGGAGGAACATTGCCAATCTAGGGGGGTTTGTAGTCATGCCCCCCACATGAAAATTTTAAAAGCAAGGATTAAAATATGTGCAATTTACATCATTCTAAGAGGAAAAAATTCCCAGAATTCCGGGAATCTGAGGTAAATTCTCATGTCTAGATTATACAGATCGATAATCGCTAAATAACGATCAATTACCGATAAATATCGGAGAAGTAACTTTAAGCAAATGTGAAAGAAAGTCCCAAAAGAAATCAACATATTTCACTCCACTGGTGAGCAGTGAGACATACAGTCAAGTCCCGTTAATCCGACACTGTTGGTTGCATATGATTATGTCGGATTAACGAGTATGACGGATAAACGAAATTAGGTATTATCAACGTTCGTGATCGAAAATTGGACAACTACACGATAGATAACGATTCAAACATGTTGTAATAAAAAAAGGAAAAAGGAAATATTCATATTGTTGTGTTACATTGTTCGCGGAATATGTTTTCTAATCATGCAACCTCTAAAGTTTAACACAAAACACAAAGTTTATCTCTGCAGCCGTTTAAATATGCAGCTACTCGCTGACTCGTCTCGCATCAAAACACAGGGCTATGTACTCGCGGGCAGATGACCATGGAGTACGCTGATCACCGTGTCGGATTAACGAGACTGATTAATGAGTGATTTCAGCAAATCGTTGCAATTTAGGTGTGTTGGAGTCGGAGTGCGAGACTGTCGGATTAACGGGTCTAAACAGCACTGATTTAATCGATTCCCATCATTTGTGTTGGATAAAGCCGATTGTCGGATTAACGAGTGTCGGATAAACGAGACTTGACTGTATATGCCTGGATATCTTTGTGAACATTTGAGATACATGTATAACAAAAACAGTTGCTTTCTCTCTTCGACAATTGACAATAACAAGTCTGTTTCAGGGAATCGGAACTTTATTTAATCACAATAGTTTATGTAAGTTATTATCGATGACCATGATGACAACAATTCAATATCAATAACCATATCAATAATATTTCTCCCCATCGTCGATAATTTCGATTATCGATCTTTTTAGCTGGCCCTAATGATATTTATGTGCAATATCAATGTGTGAGTCTGTGAGCAGGTCACAAACACACCCGACACTGACAAATCACAAATGTGATGTTAATTCAGGCTCATGACAATAATGGAGTAGAAGATTAACTTGTCGCTCATGGCCTCAAGTGAGGCAGCATCTGGTGGATAGTGAACACTAAGTGAACTTGACCCACCCAGTCAAAATGAAGAATGCATGGATTTCAGAGACAATCAGATATTAGCTTTCTTGGAAATTTGGGTTTTATCAAAAGAAAACCATGAAATGTTCTCCGGATTGTTCAACATTTTTGGTCCAGATGCAATGGTGATCAGAAACGACAGGTGTAAAGTATTCTAAACATACTGCAAATCGTGAAATAAATGCGTCTCCAAAAAATTGCGACCGCTGGCCCCTAGCCCAAAATGCGACACAAAATGCATGCGACACCCCCCCCCCCCCCTGCCCTCTCAAGCATCAGTGGATTTATATCTTAAGAAAATGTCCTCTGTCTGGTTTACAAATAGCACCGCTTATTAGAGCTGAGTAGAGTAGTTCTGCTAAAACAAAACATGCGCGCTGGCTTGTGTCGGCCTTTGACGCAGTCGCAAAGAACAAAGACACCGGGTTGCGTGGGTGGCGTCTGCCTGGCCTTGCAGGTGTGATCAGTGATGACCTAAGCGAGTAGAACGCTTGTCTTGACCCCAGCAGTGACAATTCACAGGATGTAATTAGTGTTTGAATGACATTGTTTATATACTTGTTACAAGTGCTGTTCAATAAACAGTGATGTGGAATACATAGTTGTTTGTTTTCAGCGTATGTCTAAGTTGGTATTCCAGTTATCCAAAATGTCTTATTGTTGATATAAATGCGATGTTTAATTGTGCGAGCAAAGACCACTCACAATTTTCGCATTGAATTCACACTCGCGTTAATTTCAAGATTTACAGCAGTACAGCCATTATTTCTCTCTATTCGGGTATTGACATTCGAGTGAAATTAGGCTCAGAATGCTTGTTGTCCGAGGATATTAACAAGCCTCCACACTACATGGTATCTTAGATAGTTCACCTGATAATGTGTCTGTCAGATCTTGATAGAGTGAGGTGAGGTGAGGTGAGGTGAGGTGAGGTGAGGTGAGGTGAGGTGAGGTGAGGTGAGGTTTAACATCGCGTTCAAGATTATTGCACTTATATAGTGACATGCATGCGTCTGCTTGTACTAATCCGGTTGGTTGGTTGGTTTGTTGTTTAACACCGCACTCAGCAATATTCCAGCTATATGACGGCAGTCTGTACATAATCGAGTCTGGACCAGACAATCCAGTGATCGATGTCCTGATCATCAATCCACGCAATTGGGATCGATAACATGCGTCAAGTCAGCGAGCCTGACCACCCGATCCCGTTAGTCGCCTTTTACGACAAGCATAATCACCTTTTATGGCAAGCATGGGTTGCTGAAGACCTATTCCACCCCGGCTCTTCACTTCCAGATTAAAGGCAGTTTTATTGACGTATCCCACTGAGATACCATGCCGCAGAGTGACATGGATATCCCACTGAGACAAAGTCGTCTGAGTCCTTGTTTTAATCCCCTTAATGCCAAGCGCCAGACAGGGTAACAGCAAGTAGTATCTTGTAACTTCTTTCTGTATGATACGGCTAGGGACTGAACCATCGATATACCACTAACCAGACAGATGGTCTACCCACTGGAACAAGGAGGCGGTCAACAGAAAGAAATATCAAGTGGGAGTAACACCTCTGATTTGATTGACATAGTAATATCTGTAAATCTTTGACATCATGACGTCAAGACAAGAGTCCACGCCGCTGATGACCTACCTCAGGTTCTGGTGAGCTGATCATCTTGTCATCCTCGGCTGCTGCAAGGGCATCGGACAGACTGACCGCGAGGGGGTCAGGTTGTTGATTGTCTCGGAACTCTTTGAGCAAGGCATCATGGGGGTCAGTCTTACTAAGGGCCCGGGGGTAGCTGAAGTCTCGCCTCTGGGGGGTTTGACCTGAGGGAAAAATAACACGATGTCGTCAAAGTGAGTGGCTCTTCACACAATGGTGATGGAAGTGTCAAGCAAACTAATTCAAGGGAGGCAACTCCGTCAGACATGCATTTGAGGAAATGTTAATACGTACTAAGACCATTCAAAACGTGTTTCCATTCAGTTATTTCAGCACCACTTAAAAATGCCGGTTCGTTCAATATTTTGGACCAATAAGGGTAAATTTTACTGGTACATGGCCTATTTTACCAGTAAATTACTGGCAATTACCGGTCAACAGGAAGACTGAAATAATTCCCTCATGTATTTACAGGAACATAAATTATATTGTCATATAGCTGTTAACATGTCAAATGAATCATATTGCTATGTTATAACAGTCATCAAGCACAAGCTATTAAACGGTCTTGAATTTTCACATAATGTTTACTGATCATGCTGATACCATCATATGGGGCAACACCTGCCAAGTTCATTTCTTTCAATATCAATATTAGTGTATTCAATCCAATACCTGTACATAATTTCAATTATTGAAAACATTTGTTTGTTTATTGTTTAATGCCGCACCCAGCAATTTTCCAGCTATATGACGGCGGTCTGTTAATAATCCAGTCTGGACCAGACAATCCAGTGATTGACATCATGAGCATTGCTCCACACAATTGGGATACGATGACATGCATCAACCAAGTCAGCGAGCCTGAACACTCGATCCCGTTAGTTGCCTCTTACGACATAGTATTGACAACAGCTTCTTCTTCGACAGACAATCATCCAAGTCACAAAGCTTGACCATATGATCCATTAAAGTCGCCTCTCACGACCAGCATACGTTGCTGGGAGCAACAGGGAAGCACTCACCTGTAGGAATGTCTTTGTGGATCTCCTCCGCGAGGAACTTGTTCACATCACCCAGCCTGGCCTGCAGCTCATCCGTGTGGGTCTGACTGAACGTCGTCGTCCCTGTGTGTTGCTCGTCCACACACGTCCTCTGCTGACCTAGCTCGGACACTTCTCTCTCTAGATTCTCCCCGACACATGTAGACACCCGACTTGTCACCTCCGTCACTGCTGCAGCCAGGGACTGAAACAGATACATGGCAGTCAGCATTTCCGTGCTGGTATAGAAATTAACCCTGAAGGTCAGCCAACCCAAATAGTGATTACTTACAGGAAAAACTAAACAGCCTGATTAGCTGATACCCAATGATTTTAAAATGCATGGGTAAAACACCCACAACACCAAAAGCTTATCTGGAGCTATGTTGGGCTAGTGCTAAAAAAAAGATTTCCCTGCCAAATCTATCAAGTGATGAAAACAGCTTATCACAGCTATCACTGTTATATTTAATATTTGATGGACCCTGTTTGTTTCTTTGTTCTTTAACGCCACTCAGCAATATTCCAGCTATATCACAGTCTGTACATCATCGTGTCTGGACCAGACAATCCAGTGTTTGACATCATGAGCATCGATCTACACACCTGGGATACGATGACATGCAAGTAAGCGAGTCTGGCACCCAATCCCGTTCGTGGCCCCTTGCAACAAGCATGGGTTGCTGAGGACCAATTTTAACCCAGATCTTCACGGGGTCTGCACCCTGTGGTGACGCCTTACCTGTGTGTTGTTGAGATGTTGTTTCAGGTTCTCCTGCTGTGTTGTTCTGTGCTTGTCTAGCGTTGCAGTTGTCTCACCGCTGTGGTTTTCCCAGGCCTAAACGCAACAGCAAACAATGTAATCCCTTGTTTTATAGCCGCACTATAGAAATCTTTTGTTTAATTTCCTTCCTTGTTTTGTTTGGCTTCTATCCACTTATAAAGCTACAAACAAGATGAGTGAGTATGGTTTAACGCCGCTTTTAGCAATATTCCAGCAATACCACGGCGGGGGACACCAGAAATGGGCTTCACACATTGTACCCATGTCGGGAATCGAACCCGGGTCTTCGGCGTGACGAGCGAACGCTTTAACCACTAGGTTACCCGACCGCCCGGCTTCAAATAAGATGGATAGCAACGATGCTTGTATCGATCAGCTGTAATACATAATGAAGCAGAGACTATTTTCTTGTTATATTTCAGATTTGACAGTGGTGTATATCAATGAAATATATTTCAATTCAAAATCAAACAGGCCACATATGAGTTATGCCTTACCATGCTTACAGCAATTATCCTCACAGCAAAAGTGAAAAGTTAGAAACTGAGGTAAATACCTAAAGTGTGGATTTGGCACTACCATAGAATGCAGAGACTTATTTTTCTACGGATAGTTATATTGAATCATTCACAATCGAAAAAGACCAATCTATGAGCAAGTTAAATACTATTTGAGTAGGACTGCAAACAACCCTAACCACCATGTCCACATGTTATAACACAGTAACTAACAGCCTTCGAAATTCGTGCTAGTCTGCTGGGCTGAGACTACTAAACTGTGCTGAGGACAAGTAAAAACCTAACGATGGTCGTCCTCGTTAACTAGCAGCATTTGATGGCTATAATTCTGAACCAGTTCTGAATGCTTCAGTTTTGCAGCAAACTGGAGTAGAATACAACTGATAGAATTGTAACTATAGTAAACATTTTTCTCTCATTCAAGCAGGACTAGCTACAAACCCTGAGGAAGGTTTCCTAGTCTAAAAATCTAATGTCTCTAAGACTGGACTGACCTGACATCTCTGCTTCAGGTTGTCTGTAATATCTGTCTGTAGTTTCTCGGCTTTCTTTTCATTTTCTTCTAGGTTAGAACACATCTGCAAACAGCATGAAGTCAGTTGCACCAGTGAGACATTTAACGGTGAGGACATGAAAACTTGTCACAGCCATTATTCAAGTTAAAGCTCCCAAGTTTCAGCCAATTGACAATATCAATATAATGAATGGCATAATATTTTTGTAGTCCAGTGTCCAAATAAAAGAAACAATAAATAGGTTGTGCAGGGCTTGTTATACAGAATGAGTCTTTATGACATTCCTTTAGCAGGAACATTAATGTATATATGACAGTTAGCAACTATATCACAAAGGCCTGTCAGAAATCACAGCAGTAATTTTGTGTGTGTGTGTGTGTGCCTTGCAATATTTCAGCTATATGACAGTTGTCTGTAAAAATAATTGTGTCTGGACAAGAGAACCCAGTGATTGATATCATGAGCATCGATTCCATATTGCCAAACAAGTCGACCCAATCTCCATTACGTCGCCTCTTACAACACTCTTGCTGAGGACCAACTGCAACCTGGTATCTCCAAGGGGGGGGGGGGGAGAGAGAGAAAATGATTGCAGCATGGTCAATAACTAGTTTCAATTACAAGGGGATGATTTTTTTACAAAATTTGTCATACAATCTTCTTCAGCCTGGCGAATTTGGTTCAAACTATCATAATAATTCCCCCCAATTGTAATCGTTGTCATCTCTGTAACAAGGCGTAGTGGGGTGTACAAATGTTGATTTTCAAATTGTGTAGGCTGACCTTGTCAATCTGTTCCCATGTTGACTTCTCACAGCTGAGCAGCTGACTCTGTAGATTGTCTGCACTGGCGGAGGAGGCTGTGGTGGCCCCATCTACAGCACTGCAACACACACATGCATTAAATATAACACACAGACAAAAGAGCCACTAGGCAGAACAAGGGAGACAACTCTAATACACCTCAGCTGTGCAAAGTGACATTTGCCATTTGTAGTTGGGCCATTGTTTACAGTGTTAAATATCAATGCCCCAAACCAAAGAGGGATCTTTCAAATGTATATTGTCGTCATGTCTGACCAGGCCCCGTTCCACAATGCTATCTTAGCATAAGTATTTTTGTCATAAGTCTATGTTAAGGAATGGGAGTTATGATCATTTAACACTAAGATGGCATTGTGGAATGGGGGCAAGGCATCTGAAAAAAACACTATATAACAGCATTATAGATGTGTGGGTAAGGCAGCCATGTCAAGTGTCAACATGGACCTACCTCTGTACACTGGTGGACAACTCAGTCACATCTTCCTGTCTGCATCCCAACGCCTCTGTCACCTGCGGATGATAAACAATATTACAATACACTTTGACTTTAGACCCTGCTTCATCAACAAAATCTTGAAAAGTATTTAATAAGCCTTCAAGTAAGAGGCATAGTAGCACTCATTAAAATAACTCAAGTCTTACTAGCCCCAGATAAAACTGTTGAAGTTCTTCAGTCTTACAGATTTGTGGCCATGGCAGATCAGTACATTTCAGCGAGCCCGGCAGCTATGCAGCACACAGCTCTTACACCAGTTCAACAATACCAGACCTATCAAAGTAAGACCACATGTCTAGAACTCTGGGTGTTGACTAAACAAGACCATGTCGAGAACCTAGGGTGTTGACCTGACAAGACCATGTTGAGAACCTAGGGTGTTGACCTGACAAGACCATGTCGAGAACCCAGGGTGTTGACCATGTCGAGAACCTAGGGTGTTGACCATGTCAAGAACCTAGGGTGTTGACCTGACAAGACCATGTTGAGAACCTAGGGTGTTGACATGACAAGACCATGTCGAGAACCTAGGGTGTTGACCATGTCGAGAACCTAGGGTGTTGACCTGACAAGACCATGTCGAGAACCTAGGGTGTTGACATGACAAGACCATGTCGAGAACCTAGGGTGTTGACCTGACAAGACCATGTCGAGAACCTAGGGTGTTGACATGACAAGACCATGTCGAGAACCTAGGGTGTTGACCTGACAAGACCATGTCGAGAACCTAGGGTGTTGACCATGTCGAGAACCTAGGGTGTTGACATGACAAGACCATGTCGAGAACCTAGGGTGTTGACATGACAAGACCATGTCGAGAACCTAGGGTGTTGACCTGACAAGACCATGTCGAGAACCTAGGGTGTTGACCATGTCGAGAACCTAGGGTGTTGACCTGACAAGACCATGTTGAGAACCTAGGGTGTTGACCTGACAAGACCATGTCAAGAACCTAGGGTGTTGACCATGTCGAGAACCTAGGGTGTTGACCAGACAAGACCATGTCGAGAACCTAGGGTGTTGACCATGTCGAGAACCTAGGGTGTTGACCATGTCGAGAACCTAGGGTGTTGACCTGACAAGACCATGTCGAGAACCCTGAGTGTTGACCTGACAAGCAAGACTACATTGAAAACCCTGAGTGTTGACCTGACAAGCAAGACTACATTGAAAACCCTGAGTGTTGACCTGACAAGACCATGTCGAGAACCTAGGGTGTTGACCATGTCGAGAACCTAGGATGTTGACCACATCGAGAACCCTGTGTGTTGACCTGACAAGCAAGACCATATTTCAAAAACCATGGGTGTTGACCTGACAAGCAAGACCTCATCGAGAACCCGTTGTGTTGACCTGAGAAGCAAGACCACATCGAGAACCTAGGATGTTGACCTGACAAGCAAGACCATGTTGAGAACCTTGTGTGTTGACCTGACAAGCAAGACCACATTTCAAAAACCATGGGTGTTGACCTGAAAAGCAAGACCTCGTCGAGAACCCGTTGTGTTGACCTGACAAGCAAGACCACATCGAAGAACACTGAGTGTTGACCTGACAAGCAAGACCACATTTCAAGAACCATGGGTATTTGTTGTGTGTCAGGTCAGTCACATATAACCACAGGTCAGTCACATATAACTACTGGTCCTACCTGTGTGTTGTACTGGGCAACGTGTGTGTGCTTGTTGTGTATGAGGTCAGTCAGCTCCTTCAGTTTCTTCTCTATGTCATGCTGTAGAGTGTCGTGAGAGGCCACATTATGGTGAGATTGTGTTTGGAGTGCCACAATCTTCTCTTGCTGGCTCTTCTCATAACTCCTCACAGTGTCTGTGATGGCACTCAGGTCTGTGTGGAGCTTCTGTGTGTGAGCCTTGATCAGCTCAGCCTGACTCTCTCGCTGTAAGAACAGTTTACAGTAAATAAAAAAACAGTACAATATTTGGAAATAAGAAGCACAAAAAGTGGAATATATTGTAAGAAAACAATATAATCTCAAATACTATGGTTCTTATTGCACTGTTTCAAAATCAGGTAAACATAAAAGTCAAAGGATCCTGTCATAAAAGTTTGATAAAATACTTTGATAAAACAACTGAGGGAGTCGGTAGAAGTATTAAAACCTAAAAGACCTCAGGACCCCTCTCGAAAACAGATCGGATCGAATGCTTGCATTAATAGTCTACATATACCCAGCGGTAGAAACTAACCGTTTCAGTCCACTAGCCCTTATAATGATAACATATAGCAAAACCTTTAAAAATGGAAAATGTCTACTAGTCCTTCAGATACCTTTACTATTGGGCAGTTTGGCAAGGACTACAGGACTAGTGCCAATTTCTAACCCTGTATACCACAGTCACCTATCACAGGCGGATCCAGAGATGGGGATCCAGACAGACAGACAGACAGACAGAGTAAAATTAGGCAGTAAAATTATCTGAGAGAGGATTTTGATATTTTGAACCCTTCCCTTTTAAAAATGGTGGATCCACCCTTGCCTTTTTTGAACACTGACTTGAAAGAGTAACAAACTGCATTAGGTTTTAACATAAAAAATGTATCTAAGGTCTGACCATAGTTTACTTTATCCTTAACAGTGTTGACAGAAAAGCCTTGAACTCGCTTAGATTCACCTTAACTGCAAACTAACCCATAACATTGTTACACTCTTCCGCATATTGAAGATTTTATTAATAGTGGTGCAATGTATAAGAAAAGCGGGCGACACTGACCTGTTGCTGCACAAACTCGGCCAGTGAGCTGAGAGATGAGCTGAGTTGTTTCATGTCGTTCTGCAGCTCGGTGAGTGAGGACACAACCACAGTCTGCGCCAGAGAACCCAGAGCTGACACCTCTGCTGTCTGCCAGGAGAAAGAGGGCGGGTGAGCTCAACCAGAAACATTATCAAAGTCATCACCATAATTATAGAAAATATATGAATAAATATCTGTGACATCTCTTGCATTCTGATTCTTGTATGATATTTGCCTCTCTCACATTATTGGTAAGTATGGAGAAAATGTCTTACACACTTTCGTTCAAAAAGCATTTCAGTGACACGTGTGCCTTAATCATAAACCAATGACCGATAAACTGAAGACCTACCTTGGAGGACTGTACTGCCTCCTGGATGTGGGAGAGGGTACTGAGGCTGTCCTCGTGACCCTGCTGAGTATGGGCGTCGACTGTCTTCACATGTGTACCCAGTAGGGACACCAGACCGGTCATTTGGGACGTCAAACTGTCTGCCTGGGATTTGCCTCGGCTCAACATCGTTTCTGGAAAGAAATTATTGAAGCTTTTTGATAATAAAGTCAGCCATTGCATAAAAAAAAAAATGGGTAATGGTGACATGCTGCTTACAAAATTGGTAAACGCGGGTAAATAATTAAGTTTGGACCAGACAGTGAGCAACAATCCACACCAATGGGGTAAGATGACACGCTTTCAACAAAGTCACCGACCACCCAAACTATTAACTTGCCTCTTACAACCAGCACAGGTTGCTAGAGACCAGTTCTAACCCGGAATCCCCAAAGGTTCTCAATTTAGGTGCCTCTTACGACAAGCAATGGTGTGCAAGGAACACATTCTATCCCAGGTCAACACGGGTCACAACAAGAAGGAAACCTAACACTGTGTAGGTGACTAGGTGACTGTCCTGTACACACCTATGTTGCTGAGTGCCCTGGCCTTGAAGGAGTCCTGCTGGGAGAGGAAGGTGTTTACAGAGTTGCGCATGTTGCTGATGTCGTTACAGAACCGATCCTGGAAGGTCAGCTGACTCTCCTCGTTGTGGGCTTCCACTGCCCGCTTCCTGTCCAGCTTGGCATGTAGACCGCTCACGTCGGACGTCGACGACTCGGCCGTGGTCAGCAGCTGAATATGCACAAACATCAGACTTCAGTGTGACATGGGTTACCATGGTTACATTCTGCTAAAAGTAAAATTGCACCTGAGCTTAGGCAAAACCCAAAATATACTTGGTGCCTATGGAATTAATGAGGTAACAAGTCAGAAAGTTTAACAGTTTCTCATTAATGATTTTGTTAGAAAGTCATCAATCAACTTCATGCTTTCAGCAGACATTTAAAAATTTAACACATCATCAAATTTCAACCTGTACCACTCCAAATATTTGACAGTGATTATAATCCCCCCCCACCACCACCACCGCTCTCTCCACCTGACAGCCCCCACTTCAATCAGGCCTACCTGTGTGGCCTCAGTGTACAGATTGTCTTCTGTCTTCACGTGCTCTCCCACCAGGAACTGCTGCTCGTCACGGTCCTGCGTCGTGTGTTTCAGGGTCACCTGCGTCTCCTGCAGTGTTGTTGTCGTCTCCTCCAGGTTCTTGGTTGTCACAGTCAGCTGCTCCGATGTCTCCTCCAACTCCTTCTTCGTGTCCGTGAACAGCTCCGACAACTACATTCATTTATATGAAGTCTTTAATGATACTGTTGATCTAACAAAAAGATTATGATTTTGTTGTACATTTACCCTAATTTTTCATAAACAATTATACTTATCTCTTCTTAAACACAATTACATCCAAATGTATGCACTATTGCTTGAGTGAATATGTTCTACTCCCACTTATTATATATAATATTCCAGCATTGTCACAATGGTCAATATTTAATGAGCCTGGCCAAGGTTAACAAATGGCGGACGGCCGACAACAAATGCTTAACCACTAGGCTACACACAACCGTAACTGGCTTGCAACAGTTGACAGGGTCAAGTTTCTTGGGCTTCGGTCAGGCCCCACACTGAAATACATGTGACATGAGGTGTCTCCTTAGGCAATTGCCTTGGTTTGAAATACACCTGTTAAAACAGCAGTGAATGGGTACCCGGTAGGATGAGATGGTAATATGACCATTAACCTTCTAGCACATCATTGGCAGCATGGGTTGCATACTCTGAGCTGAGAATGAAATTCAAGCACTAATCTATTGACTGGGGTGATAACAGTGTGCTTCGAGCATGATATCCAGCATGGAAAAGCGCAACACAAAGTGACTATTGTCATAATATATAGCCTAAGCCTGTACATACCGTCGTCATCTCCTCTGTGAGAGCTGTGATTTTCTCTTCAAACTCCTGGATAGCGTCTTCCTGCTGACTGATTTTGTTCTGCATAGCACTGAAATACACATACTTAGCCATGAAGCACAAAGAAACAGATTTCAAAAAGAAAAATATCAAACCAATGTTCATCATAACATCATGTCGAAACTTTCTTTATCAAATTGATTCTAATGACTGGAGCATGATGATAGTGCTATTGTTGAACATACAGATTTCGAGACAACAGGGTCTCATTTCACAAAGACAGTTGTAAGTCTATTAAAAGTATGCGAGTTACGATCACCTTAGCACTATCATGGCTTTGTGGAACGGACCTCGGAATCAGAATGGAATTTGAAGGTCACTGATAACATTCCAAGGTTCATAGAGATATGGAACACTAACATTCAAGGCCTTTTCAATGCTTTCAACTGTCAATTTTCAAGGTTTTTAAAGTTGCATTACTAGCCTGAGTCGGTCAATATCTTTTTAAACCCAGCATACTCTATCATGTCTATAGCAGTTCTAAAATGCAGTATGAATATCACAAATTTTCCAACAGGATTTATTTTCACAACCAATGAATATTATAGTCTGTCATGAATTTTTCATGGTGTTTGACCCACAAATCTATGTCACTCTGAACAAATTCAAGGCTTGACACTAAAAATCTTTTCAAGAGGGACCTTAAAATTCAAGACCTTTTGAAGCCCGTATGAACCCTGTATTCTGACAGTGAGTGCTTGTTTAACTGTTACAGCTTCATCAACAGGTCTGTATAACATTCCTCAACCTCAAACTCACACATAGTTTTCTTCGGCCAGGTAGATTCCGTTCTTCTCTCGGACTGCCTGGAGATCCCGACGCAGACGCTCGATCTCCTCGTTATACTCCTTGAGGAGAGCCTTCTTGGTCAGTTTCTGGTTGACCTCCGGTCTGTTGGTGATGTTCTTGGCACGATGAGCATAGTCCAGGGTACTCAATGTTTCCTGCAATAGAACACAAATCACACTAAATAACTAGGTCCTGATAAAAGTAAGTGAGTATGGTTTAACGCCGCTTTTAGCAATATTCCAGCAATATCACGGTGGGGGACACCAGAAATGGGCTTTACACATTGTACCTATGTTGGGAATCGAACCTGGGTCTTCAGCGTGATGAGCGAACGCTTTTAACCACTAGGCTACCCGACCACTCCGGTCCTGGCAATGAATCAACCAAGTGTAATCAATCTTTGCCCAGACAAACATATGGTCAATGGGATGAGCTTCAGTCCTAGTTTGAAAACCTGCATACAGAAACCCTTATCATGAATACAGTTCTATTTTGTGTGATTAAACCCTGCTTCATAAAATAACACTGGAGGTGAACATTTTAGGATCCTTTCCTCTTTGATGATGACAGCCAACAATTAATTCAGCCTGGACCAGACAGCCCAGTGGTCGATATTATGAGCATCAGTTCACGCAACAAGGTATGATGACACGCTATCAACAAAGACGAGTCTGACACCCTGTCCATTTGTTTGTTTGTTATTTAAAGCCATACTCAGCAATATTCCAGCTATATGACGGCGGTCTGTAAATAATTGAGTCTGGACCAGACAATCCAGTGATTGACATCATGAGCATCAATCAAATCAATTGGGATACGATGACATGCATGACATGCATGAAACAAGTCAGCGAGTTTCAGTTAGTCGCCACTGATGACTAGCACAGTTGCCTTTTAGGCAAAACATGGGTTGCTGAAGACCTATTCTACCCTGGATCTTCACGGATCCTATCCATTTGGTGACCTCACATGACAACCAAAGGTAGCTTGAGACCAATTCTCAAATGGAATCCCCATGGAGCTAATCTTCAAGTATCAAATCAGGTTTAACAGATATGAATGTGGCAATCTTTTCATTGGCCATCTTGTGAAGTTACATGTTATGATACTTTAACTAGCACCACTGCGTACCTCCAGGTTACAGGAGGCGGGGGAGATGGTGGCAATGATGGACGTCTTGGTGCGACCTCCTAGAGAGTCTTGTAGGAGACGGGTCAGCTTACTCTCTCTGCAAATAAAAACTCATAATTACAAAGTGGGCTATACTAAATTTCAAACACACTGATATACAAATATTCATTAAGATTTACTTCTCGCAGTTTTTAACTAAATATTCAGTGCATACTTTTCCTGTTGAAAAGAAGTTATACTGTAAAGCTCATATGACATATAGTTTTTCTTTTGGACAGGAGGCTACAAACTACATGACTAGCCAACTAAACTAACATTTCTCCCAGGAATGGAATACTGATTAATTATTCAATATAACTTATAAGCCATAGTGAACTGACTAGGACTTTCATTCTCACTAAAATCAGATCACATGTAATCAGGGAGTTCCGAATGCAAAAAACATAAGAGCTATTATATTGTTGTGGATATTTCATGCAGCCTGTCATTCTGAACACCATGGCATCTGCAATCAAAAGGGTTTACAGTTGCGGGCATCTTAATGTTCCATGGCAGTTTTATTCACTAAAGAAATAAATCTGAATCATTTTAGAAAGCTGACATCTGATAGGGTCAAGAACCCTTTATTAAGATTGGGCGGCCATAGTTCACTTAAGGTTTGTCTGACCTCAACCGATACAGGTGTCTTCAGATCTTCACGCAGAGAGGTAATGGATCAGAGTAAAAGATCAGATTTTAATGTAATTGCAATGTCAGAGTTATCTACACCTGGACCAGGCAGCCAGATGGTTGATCGTGCAGTACCTACCTGTAGGGTACATGAGGTGCATGTTCCACCAGTGCGGTGATGACACGTCCTAGCGTCAGCAGACTCTGGTTGATGTTACCTACCAAACAGAAGGAAGAACATTACAAGCTGGAGACACTTTTCACATCTCTACAGCCTTCAAAATTCCCTACTAAATTGAGGACCATTGAAAAATCCAGTGATGGCAGTCCTTGTTGTCTGGTAGCATTAGAAGGCTATAATTTTGAACCAGTTCTCAAGGCTTCAATATTGGGTACTTTTTGCAACGTAAAGAGTGAGTGAGTGAGTGAGTATGGTTTCACACTGCTTTTTGGCAATGTTCCAGCAATATTGCGGCGAGGGACAGCAGAAATGGGCTTCTGCAACTTAAAGATTGCATTTGCAGGCAGAAAAAAGATATTTAAAGTCTTAATAAGAAGTGTAATGATTACTTACCCGCTTCACGAGCACGCTTGTCAACTGCTCCCGATCGGCCAATGTTCTCACTTCCTGCTAAGTCAACCTGGCACAGAGTGTGTAATGTTCTTCAGAACCATTGCAACAAGACATGGAAGACCCCAATCTCTCTAACACAATGCTACAACCCTTGCAGAAACATCAGCAGCCGATTATCCTTTTATCATCAGTGTTTCACTTTTAACTGGAAAAGAGGTATTCCTGAGAACTAAGAGGTGGTAGTCCTTCAGTCATGAGACTCCACGTGTATTTGCAACAGCGCATAAAAGTTGAATAGAAGACTTGTGATATTGCTACTTGCTCCAACCCCAAAAGAACAAAAGTAATTTGACTTGATGTCTATTTTGAGAGCTGTGTAATTCAGACTGGACTCAAGTTTATCGAGACATGATTCAGGTGATAATTGAGGTGGTTTACGCATCACCTCATACTGTCACAGTGTGAGAAGGGAATATGGTGGTCAAGTACTTTGACAATGGTCAAGAATGCTTATTTAATTGCAGCAGTACCGATGTGGGATGATCTGTCATAGTATTCCTGCCCCCAAACTGTTGCCTACAATGACATTAACAAAATTTACTTACCAGGTACAGCTTCCCGGTCTTGAGAAGTTCTTCCCCGTCTACTGTGTTCTCCTTGATGTGGATCGTCACAGAGAAAACCGAGTGGGAGCGACTAGACAGAACATGTCAGATACACCTTGTATTACAACCAATTAAGGAGACAATTTTTATACAAGAACAAATATGACCTAATTCTATCAAACAATCTTGACAATGGTAAAGCCTGTCAAAGAGAAATTTCTCCTACAAAACAACTGTAAGTGACTGATCATAGGAAACACACAAGATGCATGTCCAGACAGATTACGACTTGTCATCCTTCTTGAGATGAAATGTGGATACACCACACTCAACAATATTCCACTTAAAAGACAGCAGTCTGTAAATAATCAAGTCTGGACCAGACATTCCAGTGATTGATATTGTGAGCAACAATCCATACCATCGGAGTACGGTGACATGCAATCAACCATTTAATAGAGCCCGTCCACCGATCCATTTGGTCGCCTCTTACAACAAGCATGGGTGGCCATTTCTAATCAGGAATGTGATGAAACACCACTACTTACCTGGATGTAGCATTCATCAGTGTTGCGGCAGTCTGGCGCCGGCGGGCTCCACGCTCCAAGATGGCATATACCTCATCCTTGCTGCGGACAACCACATCCTCTAGGCCAGAGATAATCACAGAACCCTGGGTACAACAAGTAACAATAAGCATGACAACTTATCATAAATCATAATCAATCATATACATCATAATCATATACATTAGAGCCGAGTATCTCCTGATATCTTGTGCTTCATACATTTCACAACTTTATTTCAGTTTGAGGACTAATTTCAAACCTAAATTATTCCAAACTGAAGACTTAAATGCAGCATCCAGAATTATCACCACATCCTGATGTTCTCCCATGCTTACAGGTGGCGCTATTCCACATCCCTCATTCGGGGAGGTAACTCCATCAGTTCCTGTTCTATTTATAGCATATCAAAATCTCACAAACTGACGATTCAACTTCAAGTATTGTCTATACCTACTTATTGATGACACCTTGCATATTAAACTACTGATGAGTCGTTGCAGCCCTTATATATATATCATATGGTCAGTTTAAGGTCAGTGATTTCAGTGGACAGTTTAAACACATACTGGACCTCAAATGTCTCCAAGTACACGATATGTACATGTACAGCATCACTGATGCAGAATTTCACAAAAGCAATTGGGTATCAAATTGATGCATATTCATAAAAGGCATCTATGTAAGCATACCTTTTTTGTGCTGTCCTCGTAGATGCGGAGCCGCAGTGGATCCTCAGAGGATCCCAACAGGTCAAACAGCTCCTCATTGTACAGCTCTAGGAAGGACACTCGCACTGAGAATTCAACTTCCTGGAAAATAGCATGAGTGAGTGAGTTAGTATTTAACGTCACATCGGCAATATTTCAGCCATATCGTGACAAGTCCTGGAAAATAGGGATATTGCATGGAGTCCAGAGCTCCAGATAAGCTGCGTATCTGCGTAAAATACGCATCAGAAATGCAGAAATACGCAGTAAAATAAAATCCAAGCGTATCAAATATGCAACGAACATTACAGATACGCTACAAAAATAAAACTTGTGCATATCATCAAAATATTGTGAAGTAACCCTGCGTATTCGATTCGCAAATCAGAAACTTATTTTGAAATTATAAACGGGCATTCCGTCAACCCTGTCAAACTCCACGATGATAGTTACATCATGATCATTTGCCATCACACTTTCTTGTGGAAGTATCGTGGTATTTTTGAGTCCTACAAAGCTCTCGAACCCACAAGACACCAGTTTGCAGGGACTAGATGAATAGTGTTTTTAAATATTTTACTTAAACATTTAAATACCCACATGTGTAAAAACTAGTGGGTAACAGAAATTTGAATACCCAGATAGAATTACTGATACCCAATGATTTTAAAATGCATGCGTAAAATACCCACAACACCAAAAGCTTATCTGGAGCTCTGGAGTCATTTAGGTTTACAAACAGAACAAGAGTCACCATAAGATGACAAATCCCCCGACCCTACCATAAGATGACAAATCCCCCTGACCCTACCATAAGATGACAAATCCCCCCGACCCTACCATAAGATGACAAATCCCCCCGACCCTACCATAAGATGACAAATCCCCCCGACCCTACCATAAGATGACAAATCCCCCTGACCCTACCATAAGATGACAAATCCCCCTGACCCTACCATAAGATGACAAATCCCCCCGACCCTACCATAAGATGACAAATCCCACCGACCCTACCATAAGATGACAAATCCCCCCGACCCTACCATAAGATGACAAATCCCCCTGACCCTACCATAAGATGACAAATCCCCCTGACCCTACCATAAGATGACAAATCCCCCTGACCCTACCATAAGATGACAAATCCCCCTGACCCTACAATTGCAAAAGACACCAACGCAGCCCCTGGCTAACACATGTACCAAGTTAGGATGAAAAATCGTTCACAAGTTTCAAGTTAAGCTCCGGAAACAAAATATGGACATACGGACAGAGCAGATGATGACTATATACCATCGCATCATATGCCAGGAGATATAAATGCTTCACAATTTGAACTTATTGATTTTGTTGTTGAATCTGTTTGATTTGTATCAGTATCACAGTGATTTTTATGTGTATGAGCATGTTTGCCAATACAGTCTCAAAATCAAAATCATCGAGAGTCAAGCATACAACTGTATGGATATTATATAAAGTGAAGGTGAAATCTCACATTTATGGTGCCGACACTCCAGCTCAACACACAAACAGTATACCGTGCCCCCATAACACCGAACCTGTTTCTTTGTTGTTTAACGTCACACTCAGCAATGTTCCAGCTACGTGACAGCGGCTTGTAAATAATCAAGTCGGGAATAGACATTCCAATGATGGATATTGTGAGCAGCGATCCACGTCGTCGGGGTATGAGGACAGGCAATCAACCAAGCCTGACCACACGGTCCATTTGGTGGTCTCTCATGACAAGCTAAGATGCTTCAGCGGACTCCCCCCTGGGAATTGCCTACCTGATTCTGCAGCTTCTCAAATATATGATACATGGTTCTGGGGATGACTCCAGCCAGAGGGTCGTCCTCCCAGGAGATGGTCGGGTCCTCGCTGCGGTCACCTTCCATCGTAAAGGTCTTACCTGTGCCTGTCTGGCCATATCTGCAAATAAGATGCATTTTGATAAGCTGATATTTTCAGACACTGATGATAGTCTAGATGTTGGGTTGTCACAATTCACCAATGTATTGAGCACTGTTAAGTTAGACCTATGATATGAGGTGAGGTGAAATGGGTTTTAACGTGATGTCCAAGATCATAACACTTATACAGCGATGTGCATGCATGTGTGTGTGTCGCTGTTTGTAAGAGTCCGGACTGATGCCGATTTATAGTGCTGGCACACTGAGATACCATGCCACAGTTTAACACGAATACCCCACTCAGACACAGTATACTGACTCCGAGCCCACCAGACCTTGTTTTAGTCCCTTAATCATGTTAATGCCGAGTGCCAGACTGGGTAACAACAAACACCATTTTTAACGTCTTTTGGTATGACGCAGCCGGGGATCAAACGCTGGATCTTCCGCACTCCACTAGCCCACAGAGCGGTCACCTATGATATGGATTGGCTGGTCAAATTTTCAGGATTCACCAGAAGCAGCTGTTCTATGGAGGTGCCGTCATATATCGCCGCAGAGAGGAATCGTTTCAGAGATAAAGATCAGATATATTGATATATCTTTATAATATCCAGTATACAATCGTAGCAAATCTTCGAATGATACAAAGATATACTGACGCAAAGACTGTACAGTTGTATCCCAGGAGGACCTCGTCAATGATGGGCGTGACAATGCTATGGTAGACATCCAGCTGCTTGCAGTGTGGGGGGAACACATGGTCGAAGGTGAAGGTCTTTGTGTGGGTGCTCACTCCTAGTCTTTCTTTGACTGTCACTTCTTTCTTATCTCCATTTGTATCCACTACTGCATACGACCCCTGCTTCTTCTCTATCCCATTGATTGGTCTGAAACAGGATAAAAGTCATGCTTTCAGCTTCTGTTGAGGTAATGAATGTTAGTGTAAGTTGTCATAAATGATTAAAAAGCAGGGTTTACCTTGACCTACAAAAGTAGTACCGGTAATTAATTTTAAGGGTCCTTGCAGGTAATATGAGCATAATGTAAGTCAGGAAATGGTGTAGTGTAGATTACATTTAGGTCTACATAATTACTTCAGAGCCTGGAATGAATCAATGATCATGTGGACAGTGGTCAAAATTGATGGATGAAATAACAAGACACCCATAACAGCCCAGCGTTTAATGCGCTGTAGGTACAATGAATATTATTGTGCATCCTTCGGGACACAGTATATTTTTTTCTGTGACCATTCTCTAAAACTGTGCATTATGGACGCATATTTGTCGTGTAAATCCTTTAATACAGGTAATTGAAAAATCAGCACATTAGCAGATGGGCACAGCAATTTACTCTGTATGTACATGAAACACTGTCACCCGCAATTCTACCTAAATTGTCTGATAAGAGTTAAAACATTTTTTTCAATGACATTAGTCTTAAGTGTACATGGTGTCTGTCACTTCAGTATGGTTCCCATCTAACATTATAACAATTCGCACTCCAAGTTCTAACTTCTATTTAGATTTAGAGATTTTAAAAAGGCACACAGTTTGAGGTTAGCATCATTATCATTCTTAGAAGGAAATAATTGTAGGAATCTATTAATAAATGATAGGAGTTAATAAGGTTAACCTAATATGTAAATATTCGAACAAGACTGTTTCAGTGACAACTTGGACTACCAAAAAACCTAAATCAAGTTTATGCGACTATTTATATTCTTTAGCCCAGGATATGCATGTAACCTGTGCTTTGGCATCCTATACATCATGCAATACATCGTGCAATAGGCGCTTCATATAGAGCTGATAGAGAAAAGTGAACAGCTTTGGAAATTGGCACCCGTCCTAGGGTCCTTGACAAACTGCCCAATATTAGGCATCATAAGTACTAGTAGAAATTTGCTCTTTTTTTAATGGTTTTGCTATGTTTGTGTAAGGACTAGTCGACTTAAATTGTTTGTTACTAACGCTGGTGGAGGAACAATATTTCTGAAACGAATTATCACATAACATCATAGACGGTATAATTTATGCCTGGCCAAATCGTTACCAGATTCATCGGAAAGACATTTTACCACCGACTTGCATACTCGACATGTTAAAAAACAAATCCACACTTTCTGCCCCCTTTACCTCACGTGTAAGAGTCCCCAATAGCACAGACAGAGCGATACTGTTCAAATAGGAAGTCCAAGGAAATGGTTTTAGCAGTTCCAAGATCTTTTGTCATCTCATCGGCTCATCATTGATATGTCAGAAAAAAACAGCCTAAAAGTTAACGATCGAATGCTTCAATTAAATTTTAAATCTTACATACCGACATCGAACAGCAACTTGAATATTTTGATTCTTTTCCTTTTCGGGTTTCTTGTAAAGAGGCATTTTGCCGGTGGTTTGTTTTCTTTGGAGCTACCTGCTTGTTCGAATTTTGTGACTTTTTCGAAGCAGCCAATCAGATGAGTCAACATTTACCAAACCGCCCATGAAAGCTTGCATGTGATTGGTCACATTTTCAAAATATCAAAGGGGAGTAACTCTAAGTTCCGCACGTAAACTGGCAGAATACTGTTGTTGCGTACAGACAGTAACCCAGTCTTCTTAACTTTCAACTTCATGTTTATCGACTGAAACGTTTTTGTCTCAAAATATTCTTTTTATACTCAAACAATGTTCTTCATAGAACGAAGCTAACAACAATCAATTACAGATGATAGCACGAAAAACATTGTGGGGCAATAAATTATTAGGGGTGATATTTATCAAAGCTCACGTAAAATCTCTTTTAAGTTTCACAATTCACAATTATGATTTGCATTGCAACGAAATAAAGCACACAAAAAAGTTTGGTGCTTTATGTACATGCCATGACACCGTCGTAAAATGAGAAGGTTAAAAATATGGGTTGAGGGAGTCTAGCCAAGATAAAATACACATGGGCCTACACTGTTTTTGGGGAAGGGCGATGCCATTTGAATGTCAAAATATTGATCATGATGTTTCAGTGACAAAGGGAAGACGCTCACAGGAAGGGCCGAGATATAACAGGCAGGCAATTTGGGATGGTCACATATTTTCGCTTAGTAGGCTGAGTACCAAATCTGTAAAATGTGTACTGGGATTGTTTGCGGGTTATCTCCCTTTGTCCACCAAACACGACGTTAAAGCATATCATCATGCAATGGTTTGCTTTTTCATTGATTTTGTTTGTTTGTTTTGTTAAACGCTGCACTCAGCAATATTCCAGCTATATGACGGCGGTCTGTAAAGAATCGCGTCTGGACCAGACAATCCAGTGATTGGATTCGAACCACTGATCTTCTGATCTGAGGCCGGACGCCATGTCCACATGACTAAAGAATTAAGCCCCGTCAGCACGCCGACAAGGTAAGGATGTCATCTTTGGGATGACTCCATGCCCTTCCCCACTGACAAGGTAAGGATGTCATCTGTGGGACGACCCAATGCCCTGCTACACTGACAAAGGTAAGGATGTCAACTGTGGGATGACACCATGCCCTGCTACACTGACAAGGTAATGATGTCATCTGTGGGACGACACCATGCCCTGCTACACTGACAAGGTAAGGATGTCATCGGTGGGACGACTCCATGCCCCGATACACTGACAAGGTAAGGATGTCATCTGTGGGACGACCCCATGTCCTGATACACTGACAAGTTAAGGATGTCATCTGTGGGACGACACCACGCCCTGCTACACTGACAAGGTAAGAATGTCATCTGTGGGACGACCCCATGTCCTGATACACTGACAAGTTAAGGATGTCATCTGTGGGACGACACCACGCCCTGCTACACTGACAAGGTAAGAATGTCATCTGTGGGACGACACCACGCCCTGCTACACTGACAAGGTAAGGATGTCATCTGTAGGACGACTCCACGCCCTGCTACACTGACAAGGTAAGAATGTCATCTGTGGGATGACTCCCCGCCCTGCTACACTGACAAAGTAAGAATGTCATCTGTGGGACGACACCACGCCCTGCTACACTGACAAGGTAAGGATGTCATCTGTAGGACGACTCCACGCCCTGCTACACTGACAAGGTAAGGATGTCATCTGTAGGACGACTCCACGCCCTGCTACACTGACAAGGTAAGGATGTCATCTGTAGGACGACTCCACGCCCTGCTACACTGACAAGGTAAGGATGTCATCTGTAGGACGACTCCACGCCCTGCTACGCTGACAAGGTAAGGATGTCATCTGTGGGAAGACACCACGCCCTGCTACACTGACAAGGTAAGGATGTCATCTATGGGATGACTCCACACCCTGCTACACTGACAAGGTAAGAATGTCATCTGTGGGATGACTCCACACCCTGCTACGCTGACAAGGTAAGGATGTCATCTGTGGGACGACTCCATGCCCTGCTACACTGACAAGGTAAGGATGTCATCTGTGGGATGACACCACGCCCTGCTACGCTGACAGGGTAAGGATGTCATCTGTGGGATGACACCACGCCCTGCTACACTGACAAGGTAAGGATGTCGTCTATGGGACGGCTCCCCGCCCTGCTACACTGACAAGGTAAGAATGTCATCTGTGGGATGACTCCCCGCCCTGCTACACTGACAAGGTAAGGATGTCAGCTGTGGGATGATTCCCCGCCCTGCTACACTGACAAGGTAAGGATGTCATCTGTGGGACGACTCAATGCCCTGATACACTGACAGGGTAAGGATGTCATCTGTGGGATGACTCCACACCCTGCTACACTGACAAGGTAAGAATGTCATCTGTGGGATGACTCCACACCCTGCTACGCTGACAAGGTAAGGATGTCATCTGTGGGACGACTCCATGCCCTGCTACACTGACAAGGTAAGGATGTCATCTGTGGGATGACTCGGCACCCTGCTACACTGACAAGGTAAGGATGTCATCTGTGGGACGACTCCCCGCCCTGCTACACTGACAAGGTAAGGATGTCATCTGTGGGATGACTCCCCGGCCTGCTACACTGACAAGGTAAGGATGTCATCTGTGGGACGACTCCATGCCCTGCTACACTGACAAGGTAAGGATGTCATCTGTGGGATGACTCCCCGCCCTGCTACACTGACAAAGTAAGGATGTCATCTGTGGGATGACTCCCCGCCCTGCTACACTGACAAGGTAAGGATGTCATCTGTAGGACGACTCCACGCCCTGCTACACTGACAAGGTAAGGATGTCATCTGTAGGACGACTCCACGCCCTGCTACACTGACAAGGTAAGGATGTCATCTGTAGGACGACTCCACGCCCTGCTACACTGACAAGGTAAGGATGTCATCTGTAGGACGACTCCACGCCCTGCTACGCTGACAAGGTAAGGATGTCATCTGTGGGAGGACACCACGCCCTGCTACACTGACAAGGTAAGGATGTCATCTATGGGATGACTCCACACCCTGCTACACTGACAAGGTAAGAATATCATCTGTGGGATGACTCCACACCCTGCTACGCTGACAAGGTAAGGATGTCATCTGTGGGACGACTCCATGCCCTGCTACACTGACAAGGTAAGGATGTCATCTGTGGGATGACACCACGCCCTGCTACACTGACAAGGTAAGGATGTCGTCTATGGGACGACTCCCCGCCCTGCTACACTGACAAGGTAAGAATGTCATCTGTGGGATGACTCCCCGCCCTGCTACACTGACAAGGTAAGGATGTCATCTGTGGGATGATTCCCCGCCCTGCTACACTGACAAGGTAAGGATGTCATCTGTGGGACGACTCAATGCCCTGATACACTGACAGGGTAAGGATGTCATCTGTGGGATGACTCCACACCCTGCTACACTGACAAGGTAAGAATGTCATCTGTGGGATGACTCCACACCCTGCTACGCTGACAAGGTAAGGATGTCATCTGTGGGACGACTCCATGCCCTGCTACACTGACAAGGTAAGGATGTCATCTGTGGGATGACTCGGCACCCTGCTACACTGACAAGGTAAGGATGTCATCTGTGGGACGACTCCCCGCCCTGCTACACTGACAAGGTAAGGATGTCATCTGTGGGATGACTCCCCGCCCTGCTACACTGACAAGGTAAGGATGTCATCTGTGGGACGACTCCATGCCCTGCTACACTGACAAGGTAAGGATGTCATCTGTGGGATGACTCCCCGCCCTGCTACACTGACAAAGTAAGGATGTCATCTGTGGGATGACTCCCCGCCCTGCTACACTGACAAGGTAAGGATGTCATCTGTGGGATGACTCCCCGCCCTGCTACACTGACAAGGTAAGGATGTCATCTGTGGGATGACTCCCCGCCCTGCTACACTGACAAGGTAAGGATGTCATCTGTGGGATGACTCCCCGCCCTGCTACACTGACAAGGTAAGGATGTCATCTGTGGGATGACTCCCCGCCCTGCTACACTGACAAGGCAAGGATGTCATCTGTGGGATGACTCCCCGCCCTGCTACACTGACAAGGTAAGGATGTCATCTGTGGGATGACTCGGCACCCTGCTACACTGACAAGGTAAGGATGTCATCTGTGGGACGACTCCACGCCCTGCTACACTGACAAGGTAAGGATGTCATCTGTGGGACGACCCCATGCCCTGCTACACTGACAAGGTAAGGATGTCATCTGTTGGACGACTCCCCGGCCTGCTACACTGACAAGGTAAGGATGTCATCTGTAGGACGACTCCACACCCTGCTACGCTGACAAGGTAAAGATGTCATCTGTGGGACGACCCCATGCCCTGCTACACTGACAAGGTAAGGGTGTCATCTGTGGGACGACTCCACGCCCTGCTACACTGACAAGGTAAGAATGTCATCTGTGGGACGACTCCACGCCCTGCTACACTGACAAGGTAAGGATGTCATCTTTTCACATGCATGGCTAAACCACTGGTTTTATTCCTGAAGACGTGTGTTTTGGGTAGCTTTTGCCAACACTTTTTAATCTTTCACTTTTCATTGTTTTAAAAAGTCGTTGTCCATTTTCCCAGTTGCATAATATCATCCAATCAGCGTTACATAGGCATAAACAACATGCTCTTCAACTGTTAACTCATTGTGACCATGCTCAGACCTATTGAAGCTTTTTTGCATGTCCATGTTTGACACCCTATATACCTAGGCTACACAGCAACGGTCTCGTCCATGTCTGATCAGGAATGTTTGCGTTATTTTAATATGTTTCAATAGTGACAAACCACATCCATATATCCTGAACCGCAAAAGAAACGTCACCCCAAGTAACATTGCATAAAAAGATGTCATTTAAATATCTGGGTAATTTTTGTCAAAGTTTCTAAAATTTAACATTACCTTGTCCGGAAAAATGAAATGTGATGATAAAAAAACAAAGCAGATGATAATAAAACCGATCGCCCAAACGCATCACAGCAATGGCCATGGTAACCCGATGCACGTGAGTTCCGTGCAAA